AGGCTGAAATACGGAGACTAAAAAAATTCTTAGCCACTCAATTTGAGGTGAAAGATCTAGGCCCCTTACGTTATTTCCTTGGAATTGGAGTTGCCCACTCCCACAAGGGCATCTTTATTTCCCAACGGAAATATGTACTAGATCTACTAGAAGATACAGGCAAGTTGGGGGAAAACCAATTGACTCACCAATTAAATCTAATCATCAGTTGGGAAACAGTCAGGGAGAGTTTTTGAAAGATGTGAAGAAGTTCCAGAGACTCGTAGGGAGACTCTTGTATTTGTCTATGACCAGGCCTGATATTGCTTATGCAGTGGRYRYCCTTARTCAGTTCATGCACAATCCTAGGACAACTCACTTTCTTCTTTTCTCTCTTCTTTCCTTCTCTTCTCTACTTCCTCATATTTCAATCGGATTTATTGCCAAGAGGAACAAATCTCAATTAAAATTAATTTGAACAAATTGGATGGTCCTGACATTGAATTGGATTGGTCCAAAATGGTCTGGAGTTTTCTTCGGATTGGATTGGCCCTGGTCCATCTGTAGTGGACTCATATTGGACCAAATCCAGTGCAATTGACACCCCTAGGGCCAAGTTTTTTGCAGAATCCAGATAGTATTACAAGAAGGGTGGAGCCTAGGGGAAAGTCTTTTGACTGGTATAGGGATCTGGAAGTTTGTATGCAATCTGTTTTGAAACCACCTGACCTGCAAACTGAAGTAAAAAGAGAGGGAAAGAATTCCACAAGTCAGGGCCAAGTTTTTACCGAACTCAGAGATGTAAATCAATCCTAAAAAATTAGGTGTAAATTTGAAAATTAGAGAGAAAAAGGAAGAAGAAAAGTAAGAGCAGCAGTACAAGAGAAGAAGATGGTGAAAAGAGGAGGAAGAAGAAGACAGGTTTGAATTATTCTTCCCTTTCTTCTCTAATCCTTTTTATTAAGAATTAATGTTAAAGTAATTACAAGTATGCCCTTAAGTGGGCGGCCAACTAGGCAGTAACATAAAGAGATCAAACAAAAAAGAAATAACAGGCCCATTAAGAGAGGCCCATTAGCTAACAAGAAAAAAAGAAAAGATATTACAAGAGAAGATACTAGGACCCATTCGGCTTAGTCTCTTTACACTCCCCCTCAAGCTGAGCATAGATGTCAATCATGCCCAGCTTGCTTATATAGTGTCATTTTCCCTCTCGGAACTCCCTTGGTCAAGATATCAGCCAATTGTTCGTCTGATGTGATGAATGACAAACAAACTTCTCCTGAGGAAACTCTTTCCCTTATAAAATGTTTATCAACCTCAATGTGCTTAGTCTTGTCATGTTGAATAGGATTATGTGCAATATTGATAGTTGCTTGGTTGTCATAGTAGAGCATCATTGGCTTCTCGTAGTCAACCCCCAATTCTTCTAAAAGGGATCGTAGCCACAGTAATTTTGACACACCATGTGCCATTGCCCTGTATTCTGCTTCAGCTGAGGATCTAGCAACTAAAGACTGTTTCTTACTCCTCCATGACATAATGTTCTCAGCGACCAGAGCACAATAACTTGAGGTGGATCTTCTATCATCAATACATCATGCCCAATCAGCATCAATGAAAGCTTCCAGGTTCATGTGTCCATGTTTGGCAAATAGAATACCTTTCCCTGGAGTACCTTTGAAGTAACACAGAACCCTTTCTGTAGCAGCTAAATGAGTATCTCTGGGAGAATGCATAAATTGACTAATAACACTTACTGCATAGGAAATGTCTAGCCGAGTCATGCAAAGATATAACAACTTCCCAAGCAGTCTTTGAAACACCCCCTTATCAGATAAAAGGTCACCATCTGTAGCAGAAAGCTTATGATTGGGATCAACAAATGACTAAATCGAAAGTGACATAACAAAACTTTGTCAATAGACTCTGACAAAACTAACTCTAAGGCAACTCCATGAGGTGGTCCAAAAGCTCTATCCGGTGTGTCCAACAAGTATATTCCGTTTGCCTCATGGCCACTCCCAATCATCCTCTGAGATTGCAGGTCCTGAAAAACACAATGAGTGGGAAAAAAGGTTATGCTACAATTCATGGATTTAGTTAAGCTGCTAACAGATAAAAGGTTTGTATTAAGTTTAGGGACATGAAGGACAGAGGATAAATAAAGGGTGTCAGAGGTCTTTATATCCCCTTTACCAGAGATGGGAGCAAGAGACCCATCAGCAAGGGATATTTTCTCTTTACCAGAGAGAAGGTGGTATGAGCAAAAGAGATTAAACAGGTTGGTCATATGGTCTGATGCACCGGAATCAATAATCCAAGGGATTTTATGATTACCTGAAWCTGAAGCATGATTTGCAGAAGAACGAATACTTGAGTGAGCAAATGCAGATGAAGATGATGTGTTGCTGAAAGAGTGAGATGAAGAAACAGTAGCTTCCAAGTGATTTAGCATTCAAAATCCGCCTTCATTCCTGCCAACTGCTCAATGGTTGATTTTTCTTCACTCTCCTTATTTCCTCCTTCAGGTACTATAGCAACATTAGCTGTCTTAGGCTTTCCTACCTGATAGCCCTTCTTAGAGTTGTTGTTATTCTTAAACCTATCAGGAAGAAGCTCAGGATGAAGCTTCCAGCAAGTGTCCTTTGTATGCCTTGGTTTCTTGCAATATTCACATATCTGCTCCTTTTTCTCAGTAGGACCCTTTGGCTTTATTCCAGCATGTGCAAAGTATTCTGTAGGTGGACTCTGCAACTGAACCTGCCGTCTACTCTCCTCACTGCTTATCATAGCGTATGCCTGGGAAAGAGTGACCTCATCTTTGGCTAGGATATTTTGCCTAATGATGTCAAACTCAGGGTTGAGTCCAGTGAGAAATTCAAACACCCTATTTCTCTCCACCAACTTTCTATACATTTCAACATCATTCTTACTCTCCCATACAACTGTCTCCATAACATCAATTTCTTGCCATAGGGACTTTAGTATAGAGTAGTAGATTGCTACACTCTTCTCCCCCTGTCTTAGGTTCTTCACGTCACTTTTCAACTTGCACTCCTAGATGTTTCTCACTCTTCCAGGTGGCAGATTATCTCCTAGCAAAGTACGGAAAAAAAGATATAAAGTTTCAAGGCTTCAAAGTGGGTTTGGTGGCACCCACTTTGTTATTTATGTTAGGGTGTCATAATGAAAAGTAATTTTACTAGTATATCCCTATGTACACTTGTATGATAGAAAACAGCATTATAATATTCCCCTCAAGTTGGATTATATATGCCATTCATCCCCAACTTGTTACAAAGTTCAATGTGATGCATACTAGTTAGACCCTTGCTATAGACATTAAGTTTCTTCTCAGTGTGGGCTGATTAGTAGTAGATAACAGCCATGATATCAACATGTAGTTCTCTTACTCGCGCTTATCATGTGCAGGTCCACCATCTTTAGGCTCAATAATTCTGGCAGCTTGATAACCCAAATTTTCTCCTCTATCTACAAGCAGCTTTACATCCTTGGACCACTCTTAAGTAGTTTAATCCATCAAGAGGTGTGATGGATATTGGGAAACTCCTATTATCCTCGCCATTTCCAAATACAGACAATCCTTTCAGATACTGCTCAATCTTCAGTTGAAAGTAATTGTAACACACTAACACTTCAAGCACTGACAGTTCTGGCTAATCAAATTAGCATCCACCTGCTACTACTGTTGTTACTTTTCATAAGCAAGTCTGAACAGATCAAAAAAGGTGAAAGATTTAATTCAACTGAATCCTTCAGCAATCAGTCATCTATTGCTCCTTGTACCCCAATTATTATCAGATCTACACAGAGAAAAGTGATCGGTTTTGTTCAATTGTACCATACAGAAGTCACTCTTAGACCTGGAAACAGTCCACTACAGGCTCATAACCTATACAATAGATTCAACACATGTCCTATAGCAGTACTGTCCGTCCAACAGGAATACCCCTTAGATCAGATGTGAAAAAGTAATGAGTTATTATTTCCATAGTATGAGAATCATCCCTTTTACAGGTCCTGTTACACCACATGAACGGAGGAAAACCATATTGACTCCTTATATATCAAATAACAAACAACTATAGACCCCAGAGAAATATTTCTTTGGTGCTACAACCAAAACAAAAAAAAAGAATAGGAGGTTTATTTTTCTTATTTGATCAGTCAAGTCATATTTAGAAAGACTCCTTCCAAACACCAGCTGAGAATGTGTGAGAGTAAAAAATAGAAACTAAGAGAGAAAAGAGCTTCAAAACTGCTGCCAATCCTGCTTTGTTACCATGTAAACAGGCTGAGAGAAAACAGAAGAAATCAGAAGAAAAGAGACAAGTTCGAAGGCTTCAAATACTTTCATACTTACCATATCATTGAGGAAATGATGAAAATAAGAGTTCTGCTTTTCTGTTCATTTTGGTTTGCATTTTCTTAACATGTAAATATTGTACTTAGATGGTCTTGCTTATTTCTGGCAGTGGTGACCATGACATGTGTGTGCCATTCACTGGGACTGAAGCGTGGACTAGATCACTTGGATATAAGATCATAGATGAATGGAGACCTTGGACTTGTAATGAGCAAATTGCTGGGTAAGTTATTTCACTTCCTGTTTATAAATATTTGATTTACCCATTCATTAGTTGATAAGGATGAACATGGTACACAAATTATGGTAACCTTCATATTGAACTACTCTATCATACCATTACCACTACATTTTACTTTACATATATGATCACCAAAGTAATAGATGCTCATGATAGGAACTTTTAACGTACTTCATACAACTAAGTTATTCACAATTAGATTGTTTTATTTCTTGAAAGAAAGATTATTTTATTTCTTTCAGGTACATTCAAGGCTATGATAAAAACATCACCTTCCTCACGATAAAGGTTTGCACATGCTATAACTTCCTGCTTAATTATCTTTTTTTCTTTAATTTCAATAAGCATAGAAAATCAAATCTAAATTTGATTATTCTTCCATGGAACATAGATTTGTCTACCTTCACTTTAGAAGTCGGGGTTTCTGTGGAACTTTGGATAGAAATGTGGATTTTCTGTTTTTAGATGGACTGACAAATGGATCACTGATTTTGAAATCCTGAACATTCTTATTTGTTGATATTGCCATTTTTTTCTTTTAAAGTTAATATTTCTGATTGGAACTGGTGCATTAATTCTGGTATTTTTTTCACTGGTGATGCTGATTACAGGACTTCTCTAGTGAATCAGTGATATCACTGATTCATGGAAAATTTTATTGAAGAAATATAATTATAGAAGACTTCCATATTTACAATGAATGAACAATTTTTCTGGTAGGGTTAGGGGCAGACCTAAAAGGACATGGGTTGAACTGCTAGGAAATGATTTTAGTGCTCATAATTTAACAATAGATGTGGCAGTAAACAGAATGGAATGGCGAAACAGGATTCATGTAACCAACCCCATATGGTTGGTATTATGGGGACATACTGAAATAATTGAATATTTTTTTCTTCCAATTTTCAGCCTTAAATTTAATATTTGTGATTCTAACTTCCTTTTCGTTGGTGCAGGGAGCTGGACATACTGTCCCTGAGTACAAGCCACAAGAAGCACTAGCCTTTTATAGCCGTTGGTTGGAAGGAAAAACAATATGAAATAAATTTTTGAAAGAAAATAAATTATGTCAGTAAGCGAGAGCGGGAATGCAGTGTATGTGTGTTTTCTTTCTTTCTTTCTTTCTTTTTTTTTTTTTTTTTCATTCACCGACTTTACCAGCTGATCCAGCTAGAGCCTTGTTATTATTATCTTCTCGCTCTCCATTTTTTCTTTTTATCCATTTCCAGTAGTGTATTAACAGAACTTTGTTAATAAGAATACAAGAATAAAAGCATTCTCTTATGATAAATTAACTTTTTTGTGCATCTTATAAATAGAAGAGATGAATATTTAAACCACTCCTAAGGTTTTTGACAAGGGAAACATTTTGACTTTTTGAAGATGACTTTGATAGGGTACTTTAACCGCAACCCAACCCTTAACCTTAGGCTCAGCTTGGAAGGAGTACAAATACAAATGTGTAGAGTGCAAAACCTTACAATTTGTATTATTTTGTATGTATTTGTATAGTACATATTTGTATTTGCACTCCTTCCAAACTGAGCCTTAGTAACCCGATTTTTATCAGAAGGTTCATTGGATTAGACTGAAAAATGCACGACAAAAAATTCAATAAAGACTTTTTAGGTCTCATTATAACTAAAATTACCTAAATATTCAATAAAGTTGTCTGAAACCTCAACCCTGATTCAACCCATTTAAAATCGGGTTAGATTCAACCTGATTTTCACCAGTTTGATTTGTAAACACCCCAAACTTGGGTTAGGCACAATCTGGTTTCAACTTGACCCATGCCAGTTGCAACCTTAGCTATTGGCATCCTTTATCTGGTGACATCAAAGAAAATGACCATCCTTTGTGAATTGTTCATTTGTCATCATTTGCATATAGTGGCAGTATGGCACATCACCCTTTCTTTTTTTGGTAAAAGAGAATTTCATTAAACCCAAACAGAGAACAAACACAGACAAACAAAACAGATAACTACTAAAACTAAAGCTAAAGCTAAACTGAAAACAAAAAGATGAATCAAAGTTTAGAACATTTGAAAGACAGAGGAACGGAAGAACTGGATTTAAAACTTAAAAAAAAAAAAAAAAAAAAACCGAACTTAGCCGCAGCATGAGCTACACCATTAGCCATCCTCGGACAGAACTGAAACCTGAATTTATTTCTAACAGCAACTTCTTTAATGTCCTGGCAGGATATCGGGATCTTCACTATCATCATGAGCGCACAGAGACTTCACTAATCTGTAACAATCAGATTCAAAAAGGATATTTGCCGCACCAAGTTGGTATGCAAAATTAACAGCTTCCAATAAAGCTTTAGCCTCTGCAGCTGAAGGTGGTGAAGCTTTCGTCGACCCAAAACCTGCATCCCAACAAAGGCCCATGTGGTCTCGCATAATAAAACCAAAAGAAGCCTGTCTACCTAACAAAAAACCACCCTCAACATTAATCTTCAGCATCCCCTGATCCGGTGGCATCTAAGACAGCGTTACTCTTCAGATTAGCTTTGGAAGAGCCTTCCAATTTCTGCTGTCAGTGAAGAGATCTTTCCGTTATTAACCTGTGAATAGAAGAAATAACAACCAAAGGGCTTATATCTTCCTTGTCAAAGCAAAAGGAATTCCTATCTCTCCAAATACCCCATAGAATCAGAACTATGTTTGCTATCACTTCCAATTGGTCTCTCCCCAATTGAGAGATGAAGCTCATCATCCAGTCCCCAAAGGACGGGAAAAAATTACAATAATCTGGGCTAATGCCAATACCTGACCCCCAGCCAGATACATCTGGCTTTATCCCATTACAAGAGAGAATGCAAAATATTTTCAGACTCCTTACAAGTTACAACACCTATCATAAAGGTCCGGATCCACCAAACCTCTTCGAAACAAATTTCTTTTAATTGTTATCTCATCAATATTGCATCTCCATAGCAAATGCTTAATTTTTGGTTCAATTGGGAGGCTCCACATCAGGTTCCAGTAATTTTATCAAGCCTTGGACCAGCAATGACCTCGAAAGATCCCTCCTGCATTTGTTTTGCAATGAAATAGGCAGACCTAGCAGAGAATTTTCCATTTTTTCTACCCACCCAAACTAGTTTATCACACCATGGATTGGATGGGAGATCCAAATCTATGATTTTTTGGGCAAAAGCTAGGGACAGAAGTGAATTTAATTTTTTACTATTCCAACTCCTGCTATCTTGATTAATAAGGTCAACCACTACTAGATATGATGAGTTTTCTTGTCTAGGGCCCACCAGCTTGAAACAATTTAAACTTGGAATCCAGGGATCATCCCAAACTCTCACTTCTAACCCAATGCTAACCCTCCAATAGATGCCTTTTTTCCAGAATTTTCCTTCCTTCAAGAATACTTCTCCAACTCCACGAAGGTCTATTTCTTAACTTTGCATGGATAAAGTGAGACTCAAGGAAATATTTTGCTTTAAAAACTCTAGCCCACAAGATATTCCAGTCAGAACACAACCTCCAAGCTAGCTTTGATAGCATGGCCAGATTGAAAGAGATAGGGTCTCAGAAACCCAGCCCACCATTGAACTTATTTTTACACACTTGAAAATAGCAAAAAAAAAAAAAATTAGAGCACAACAAAAAAAAGGAAAGGAGATAGAGGGTTTTTTTCATATGGGGGTGGATTTTCTTTAAGGGGGAGCCATTTTATCAAAATTTGGTAAGAGACTAAGGAAATACATGCCATAACCCAGGATATCCATTTACTACCAAACCCATTTTTTTCATAGGTAATTTAAAAAATTCCCACTTCACTCTATTATAAGCTTTGCTTATTATCTAGTTTAATTGCCATAAATCCACTCTTGGCTTTTGTATGAGTCATGAAGTGCATTACCCAATTGGTAATGAGGATATTATCTGATATAGCTTTTCCCAGAATGAAAGCACTTTGATTTTCTAAGATAATTTTATCAAGGATTGGTTTCAATCTATTGGCAAAAACTTTTGCAATTATCTTGTACATTGTATTACACAAGCTAATTGGTTTAATAGGGTTTTTTTTTTTTTTACTTTTGAGATTAGGGCTATGAATGTTGAATTCGGATTTCTATTAAGGATTCCGTTATTAAAAAGGACATCACTTCCTTCACCATATCTTTAAGCACATCCCAAAAGGTAAGAAAAGGTTAGAAAACCATCAGGCCTAGGGGCCATTTGGAAGAGATTCTCTTTGATATTCTCTTTTGAAACATTCTTTTGGAGGAAAAGATATTTTGGAAATGATTCTCAAGGATGGTCTTGATATTTTCTTGTGCCTCGATCCACTCTCTATTCTCATGGGTGAGCTCCTTAATATGGAGATAAAGTTGTTGACTTGTTGGAGACATAAAGTGATGGATGGGGCTGAGTGGTTGACTTGTTGATTTGCCCACGCCTCCTTGATTACCTCTACACATTTATCATGGGTGAGCCACATCTCTTCAAATCGAAAAAACTTCCTAATCCTAAAATTTATAGGATTGGTGTCAAGGCAAATTAGAAGATGTCTTGACCCATAAGTAGAAATAACAAGTTCTTTTGCATCAAGAAACCATTTTTTCCATTCCAAGTTACATAGACCTTTGTCAAGCTTGACCTTTATGTGGTTTTTTTGATCCCTTTTATTGGTCAAAGTATACTTAAGACCCGAGCTTTGGATTTCCTCAAGTCCCCTCACATGCAAAAAACCATTATTCTTTCTAATTTTCTTAACTCTGAACTCTCTTCCCTTGACTTTATCACCCAAGTTAAAAATCATATTAAAGTCTCCAATGCAACACCAAGCCCGGATGTTCTGGCTGCTAAAAAGTTAATCTTTTCTACAAAATGCAGCCTCTTGCTTTTCTCAAGCTCTTCACAGATGAAAGTACACAAACAAGTTTTATCATTGTTCGAATTCTCAATTTTAGAATGAATAAGGTTTTTGCCCGCTACCAAAATTTGAAGATTCATGCTCTTTTCCCAGGAAAGAGCCAAGCCCCTTGCTAGCCCCACTAAGTCCATAGTAGTTCCAATCTCTCAAACAATTAAACTTCTTTCTACAATTTAACAAGCTACACTTTGTTTCACTCAAGAAGAAGATTTCTGCCTTTATTTTTCTTTGGGTCTCTTTCATTGCATGAACTGTCGAGGGGAAACCTAACCCTTGACAGTTTTAGCAGAGAACTTTCATTGTCAGGGTGGGAGTTGCATAGGGACAACTCCCACAAACCTATTTATTCTAGATGTTGTCAATAAGAGAGATTTCATATGGTTTGAGTACACTATTGAAGGAGGAACAACAGAATTCTTAAAATTCATCTCCACAGTGCAACCACAACCTATAGAGAGCCAAGTTTTGACTTTGGCGACAAGAATTCTAGTATTTAAACAACACAATGCTATAGGATTTGAGATTCCCTCACCTTTAAAGTCGGAAAGGAATAACATTTCTCTTACCACATATACCACCCTGCCAGATATCAGAAGACACCCATTTTTGAAAGGAGAAACACAGGTTTTCAAAAAAAATTATTAGGACTCTTGCAATTTTCCATGTATATCTTCCAATTTTTTCCTTTTGGTCTTCTAATAACTTCCACACCAAACCAACTTATTTTTCTTGAAATTACCATAGCAAAGCCTTTGCCTTCTTTGAAACGGATATTCCCATAGTTTTTTAATAGGGGGTCAAAGGGATCCAAGCAGGCTTACTCTCCAAAGAAGGTAATTGAAAATTTTAGGTTTATATATTTAATAGGAACACCTTTTTTAAGTACACACACATCAGAAATAGAAAAGAAATCAGGTCTTAACTTCTAAGCTACCTTCTCTCTTGACAGCAAGCACAGTTGGATAGGGATTTCCGGTGCCAGTTGAGCAATATCGCATTTGAAATAGCTTAAAACCTCCCCTTTGATGCCATCAATATCTACGTTTTCATTGGATTTTGGTTTCCTTTGCCATTTTTGAACTGCTTCATTCTTATCTTCTATGAGCACTAATCTCTCTCTTTTGGTACTGCAGCCCCCATCCCAAATAAAAGGGAGAAGCGGTTTTGGGTTACTCCGCTGACCCTGACCCCCTGTACTTGAATCCACAACCCGATTATGCTTGTCTTCATTTAATACTCCCTCCGTTTTTTTTTTTTTTTTATGTTTTTTTTCTCAGACAAAACCTAGTTCTTAGATGATGCCTCTGATTCTTCATCAAATAAAATTCCAAATTTGGATGCCTGACCTAGCTCTAGATTCATCGGCCTATCCACTTCGCTCCCCACTTATGGTAATGCATGAAGTGTAAGATTTGTCTTTCATTTTTTGTGTAAGTGTGATAGAAAGCATGCTCGATCCACTCTAGCGTCATAGCTTGGAAAGGTGAAGCTCGACTAGAACGATCTAACTTCTCAATGATTCCATGATTCCTCCACCCTGATTGTTGGTCTTCGCTGGAGAAAAGTCATCGGCGACAAGATTACACTAATGTTTCATTTGAATCCTTCAGCAATCGCCGACAAAGCCTCTTCATCTCCCTCCTCTTGAAACAACTTCTTCTTGACTGACTGTTTTACAATACTAAGGTTTAGATTTTCCTCAAGCTTCTCCCCATTGTTCCACTTCTAGTCATCTTCATATAGCTTTTGATTCTCTTCTCCTACTAGCTCGTTCACTTTCAAAGTGATAGTAACCTTACATCGGCTCTCCTTAAACAGGCTTCCTATTTTTTATTTCCTTTGCCTATATGACTTCCAACTTACATATAAAAAATGATCTCCCTCATTTCCCACCTAAGCTCTCAACCAAGGGCCATAACTACCTGTCTCCTCCAAAACATCCATTTTTTTTCTTTATCTAACCTTGCAACAAGACATTCCACAATTTTCTTGTTATCCTTGTTCTCCCCACAAGTTCTTTCTACATGACCTAGCAAGTCACAACAAAAGCAGAAGGCCAGTAGGTTTTCATATTGGAAAGAAAATCAGCCCTCCTTACCATATTTGAGAACACCTTTCGATCCCATTGCTAAGGGCTTTCTCACATCCACCTTAACTCTTACTCTTACTCCTTTGTTCCATTCTACTTTTTTCTTTTTTCTTTTTTTCCTCTTCCTCAAGACTAAGGTTCATTACTATCTCACTAGCTTCTTGGGTTAACAAAATACCAAATTCCTTGGTTCTGTAATCTATTGAGACATTTAGGATTCTAATCCACATATCAATCGTATTTATTTGCACCTCCAATGTCAACGCCTCATCAATGTGTTCTTTTAGGAGTATAGGGTGGTCCTTAATCGTCGATGGCTCCTTCTTAAGAATATTAATTCTTCAAGTCTTTCTCTCTAGGAAAAGGATATCCGTAGTAGATCATCATTAGCTCTTTCTATCTGCAACTCCCCTTTATCCACCACCACATGTTTTTAATTTGATCCATAACACTAGAGAAATTCATGGGTTTATCGAACAAAACCTTTGCATAGAGTCCATACTTCCTAATGGCGTTCTTTGTCAAGACCTTCCTCAGATCTTCCGGCTTTTCATCTCCATGTATCTCCAATTGCCTTCCTCCATAAACAGAACCAAGCACCCTTTCCACAAAAGTAGAGATC